CTTAAATGAGCATCAGACTTGAAAAGATGGGATGAGCAAAGCTGGAGGATGGTTCTCTTTACAGATGAATCTAAATTAAAATTTGTTCCATCGATCAATGATAGTTTGTTTGATGGCAGAGATATAAACAGTATCATAGACAAGATACAACATCTACAGTGAGATTTTTACCCATCACATCTTTCCCTCAGGAGCAAGACCTGTTTGACAAGGATTCATCTTTCAGCAAAACAGGCCAGGATCCCAAGCATGTAGCAAACATGGTGAAACATTACTTTGAAGTAAAAATAGGCTAATGGAATGCACATAACCATGATTTGAGCTGCACAATGTCCCAGTGTGAATATTTCTAAAGGCTGTATGTTCTTATGTAAAAAATGAGATCAAATGGCAACCAAATAACACAGCTAAACTGTGGGGATTAATACTGAACATTTTAAACAATATTTCATAGTCATACACAGATAAACTTATGGCAGCATAAAAACAAGGTGTAGTTTTCTGTTTAAACCAAATAAAAATTACTAGTGCAATGTACAACTTATTCCTTTTCCTATGTATTTTCTGTATTTTCATTGTACTAATGATAAGTGACAAATTATTTGCATTATTTATTGTTTGTGACTCTTATATGTGTATCACCTGTGCACTTCCATAACTGTTTTAAAAACTGTACAATTTAATCTTATTATTCCTAAAATTGGAAGTCAACTGTATAGAAATCATTGGCTGTTTTGGTCATTACAATATCCCAAAAGTGACAAAAAAAGTAAATTGCCTTTCAATGATAACTTAGTGTTTGAGCTTTAGAACAATATTTTTATGGTCATCAGTTCACCTCTTTCTTTTAACAAAATAGTTTACCTATGTAAGATCTGTTTTCAATGCTAAACTAGTCAATATACACTAGAAGAATATCTAAAAGTCGTGTTTGCCCTAGTTTCAGTTGCAAGTGCAAAATGGTAGCTGTGCAAGATGTTTACATGAATTACCAACATTGTAGATGCAATAACAACAGGTTTCTGTTAAATGAGAAAATTCAAAAAAGAGAGGTCATCCAACAAAAAAGAACATACTCAAAAAAAGAAAAGGACAAGGAAACTGTGATGCAAAAGGAAAAGTATTAATAGGTACTTTGTCCTACTCCTAGTAATAACTTTCATTATTTTAGATCATTTAGTGGTTGACATACTTAAATATGATTCATCAAATCAAATGTCATGAACAAGGTGAAAAATATTCTTATAGTGCAAACACTTTTCTATTATTGACTTTTGATTTTAGAATTAAAGGGAAAAATAACAACTGAGATCAACTGGTGATATTTTTATTGAAATTGGCATGCATTACTCTGTTTCTCCACCTTTTAGCTTCTATGATAAGGATTCTTTATAATATACATTACATGTTGTTGTAGGATATTTTTATATTCAAACTTACGTGTAATGTTTGCTAGAGGAAGGTTTGGACATAACCTAGTGATAATGTGTGATGCCTAGAAATCTGAATGACTAGATTTGATGTGAAATTTCAAATTTAGTGAGATTTAGGAAAAATATTGTTTATAAACACCAGAGTTGGCAAGTCTATTAGTCAGTCAGTTTTGAGTTTGCATTGTAGATACCAGATGATATTTAACAAATAAGTGATTGTTAAATTTTATTTAGGAGTTAGAGCTTAGGTTTGGTAACAGTTAATAAACTGTGTAAGTTACACTTGAAAACATTCAGTAGAACAAATAAAAAGCTTTACTTGACTTTGCTTTATTTTTATCAAATAATCAAATAGAACCTACCCAATGAAAGAAAACCTTATAATGAACTATATATTATTCAATATAACTGTATTACATAATTATATGCAACTGCATAATATAGTAAGTAATATTTAATATTATTCACTCAACATAATGAAAGCATAATAAATTTTTAATTATATGCAACTGCATAATACAGTAAGTAATATTTAATATTATTCACTCAACATAATAAAAGCATAATAAATTTTCAATTTAATCATATTGTGTTCAGGCTGTTTGTTTTTATTTCTCTGTTTAACAACTGAAAAAGTTTCAAATTACAAGAAAGGGAGATTCGACCTAAATAATTATGAAAATATATGGAAAATGCAAATTTAAAATACATAAAACATAGATTTATATCAACTTGCTTATTAAAAAAACCTATCACATCAGAGACTTTCGCCAACTTATTGGAATGTGACAGTTTCTCTGAATAACACTAAATTCACTGATTTTACACATCATCATCAAATTGTCATTCCATGATGATTTTCATCATGCAATGATTTATGGATGTTTTGATAAGATCTTTTTTACAACACTCAAATTACTGACTTATTTTTAAACCATTCACAGCTGTTGCACCATGTTGAGTAACAAGGTTTTTCCTGTTACAAAATTAAATGAAAAACTGACTAGACAAAATAAGGTTTAAAATACAAAAGTTTAATAAAGATTTCATTAAAGCCAAATGATTAAAAGTTGCCTATGTATTTTTTATAGAAAATGAGTGATTTCACATAATCAGACAGTAAAAAAAAGGTTTTTAAGGCTCCAGCAATAATTAGATTAATTACAATATTAATGGTATTTTGGTTTGTACTGTTTTGTGACTCATGTTATTAAGGATCTTGTAAACATGCAACAAAGTCATGGGCCCCCATGCAATTTGGCACATAAAGAGTTTAAAATTTAAAAACCTGATGAGGTTCAAATGGAACCAACATGAACTTGTGCATCGAAACTGTCCATCAAAGAAACTGGCACATCTAAGTATAACCTGTATCACACCCATAAAATTATCCAACAAAAACTTCAAGTAGTTCAAATTATCAGCACACACATAAAATCATCTGGCAAATCATTCCACAAGGTAAAAAATATGACAGGGGAGGAAAAAATGTCTAATAACATGCCTAGACATTGTCTTCTACAGTTTATAATTATTTCCTCTAATATTTAGGATTTTATCCACAACAATATCCTCTCATTGTTTTGACCAACTTTCTATGAGCAGTTTATCTAAGCTCCTGACAACTGTAAACTCCTGAATCATGAAAACCAAGTTCAAATCTTTGAATCTTTTCATAGCCTAAATGCTTCAAAAGAGAAATAATTTTGGTATCTCTTCTCTGAAATTTTTAAAGCATATCAATATTTTTATAATAAATGGAACAAAACTAAAAACAATACTCCAATTAAATGAGGCCTCACAAAACTTTTGTACAATGTGATGATAATTTCCCTAATCCTGAACTTAAATTTCTGTAAGAACCTTGTTTTCTTTTTCACCACTACCAAACATTCACCCACAAGCTTGAGGCTTTTATCAATCATCAAACCCAAAATATTTTCACTCTCCATAACACCAAATGCCTGCACAAAAATAAGGGCTTAACAAATTTTCACACCCTAAATGCATCACATTACATTTAACAATGTTGAAATTAATATTACCACATTTGGCAGGACTGTCCACATCCAATTACATTAAGGAAGCATTTTCAAAGAATCAGTCTTAAACATATGTTTAACATCATCATCAAATTTAGAAATATTGCTGCTTATACAGCAGTTCTCATCATTGACAAAGGCAATCAGCAACATAAATCCCTTGAGGGACCCTATTAGTCACATTTTCATAGTTAGAATTAATGGTGTTTATTTGTCACATTCCTTTGTTTTCTACTTTAAAGCCAATTTTGAAACCACTTTTTGAGTTTTTCCCAGTTGTACAAACTTAACTTGGTAATTAACCCACTGCGAGGAACCTTATCAAAAACTTTCTGGTAGTCTAGATACACAGCATCAACAGGGGTACCTTCATTAAGACAAGTAAGAGCAACAACAAATTAGTGAGACAAGGAAACTCTTTCATTAAGTTACAAAAATAATTTTTCAATCAAGTACTAACCTTCAAGGTGCTTTTTCAAGTGATCCCTGACAGTGGATTTCAGTAGCTTACAAACAGTACAAAACAAGCTAATTAGCTTATCATTTGTATGGACTACCTTCTAGACTCCTTTTTAAAAATAGGTATCACAATGACTACCCTCCAATTATCAGGAATCTTCTTTGTGTCAAAGATTTCTGGAATATTTTGGTTAAAACCTCACCAACTAATTACTTAGCCTCTTTAAAATCTTAGGATGAACCTCATCAGGGCCAGAAACTTTAATAACATTAATATTTCCAAGCATTTCTAAAATATGCCTTTCTTTAATATTATACATGATAATAATATTGTCTGAGAAGAGCTCTCTCCTCTCTTTAAATGTATTAAATACCTTAAGTCTCTCAGTTTCCTCAACTTCAGTAAAAAACACTAGCAAAACAATTTTAACCCTTGACTATATATTCCTTTTAAACAATAAGGTTTCAATTTAAATCCCTTAACAGTTAAATATTTTCTTTCACTTATTTTGGTGTTAACATTAGCATAAAAGACCTTCTTAACCTGTTTTTGTTTATTATGTACTCTATCACTGTTCCAATGTTACCACTGAGTTTTTATTTTTTGAAAATGACTTAACTGGAGGTTTCCATTTATGTTTAACACAAAACCTAAAACAGAAAAAGCCAATAAGCAGGATTAACAAAAGTGGAAATATTAAAAAGCTTTTTTTAGTATTTTAAGAAAATCTCCATGGGTAACAATTTTAAATAGAATATTAAAAACAGCCTAGAAGATAAAATTATATGTTTTTTTACTTGAAGATAAGTCTTATCTATCACCGCCAACAGTTTTCACTTAATTCCTTAATAATTATCCCTAAAATTATGTCCAAATGGCTGTTTATAAATCAAAAACGTTAAAACAGGGGATTTTGTTAGCTAAGATTTTAATAAGTCTTTCAGTGCTTCATCATTCAAATATTTCTATTATTTAATGATCTTCTGACTATTGTTGGAAGAAACACACTGAATATATACAAATCACTGAATTATATTCAAGATGGAACTTCCATATCTGACTTACTTGATATTTAATTTTCTTGTTGGGAAGTATTCCATCTCTAATAGACATTCTTTGTCTTGTAAACTGAAGTACATTGGGATCTGTAAGACTAGCATCTTGTTGTTCTTCAAGAGGGGGTCTTCCTCCCTCATTTTTATCCTCATTTTCTTCTTCTACCAATAAAATAAAATAATTTTTAATTTCCAATAAAATCATTAAGTCACCTTTGTTTTCACAAGTACTTGGAATTACATCTTTAAAGCAACATAAATACTAGAGTAACGAGTAGACTGTGAGGTTCTACCTTTGTGCTTTTAGCCAAAAACCTATACCTTACAATCTAATGAATGTCATAAAATTCAAAATGCCCTCAGTCTCACAGATTGTTAGTAGTATTAATTAATGATGTTTTATCCCTTTCTTACTATATTGAAATACCAACCTCAGTTCCAAATTACTGATGTTGTGAATCATATGCCACACATTACTTTTAAAAATTACATTTTGACACACCTCATGTCCTTGTTTTGTGCTATACAAATCCACAAATTTAAAATGCATTAAATATCATCTCACATCTCTTTCTTTACTAAATAATCAAAGCTACTAGAATTAATATCATTATCCTTTCTTCCCAAATAGAGCCTTGTTTGCATGTTTATCACTGTTTCTTTTCAATATTATTGTAGTATTATAATAGTTATTTTGATTATTCTTTGTTCTGAATGTGTACAGTTTTTGCATAGCAAGTGGTCAAGAACACCACTAGGTTAATCTTGTTTCAAGTTACTTTTGTTTCTTTGTTATTTTCAAAGTTGGTAATACCTATTACCGCACATGGAAAACATTATATAATGTGACTTTGTAATAAGAATGTCAACAGCAATGGTCTTGAACAGTTGTAGAGGTTATATCTTGAGGATCTGGCCCTACTTATGTATAATAAGAATACCCAGTCATTTGGTAGCACATAACAGTTCCAGTAAATGTGAATTTTCTTGGAAACTAAAAATGTGGAATTTAGTTATTCTGCAACTTCTCTTTCAACTGGCTAGTATATTCGTCTATTACTTGTGTCCATTCTCATTATTTCAACTTAGCCAAACATGAATTTCAGTTATACTTCATGATTGATATTTTGAACAAATCTCCTGTTATCCAGCAAACATATCCAATATAACTCTAAAGTTCATTTTGTACCTGAATATACCACAGAGTGGATAAGTATGAGAAAATCTGGTGCTGTGACTTCAGGACTTCATTAATGCAGAGTATGCTAATAGCTGCTGAAGTGCATATTGCCCTTCACTTGACTTCTTGTATGATTTAACTTTAAAAACTTCATAGTTGGGAAAAGGTGTTTTCCAAGACTAGGAGGACTTATTATTAAGAGGAAGAGTCTGTCCTCAAAAAAAGATGGTTGTTTGAGAGAGAGACCAGTCGAGTCAATGAGAAGTCTTCTCTTGGATGTTAGATATTTGCCAATACTGAAAAATCCACGACTGTGATCACTTTGTGATTGAAGCCACCCAGAAATGAAGTAAGACTGGAGGAATCATTGTTTGATGTTGTCCATCAACCAACAATCAGAGCTATTCTACCAGCAGATGGCTCTGGTTGGTATCAGACCATGAAAGTGGAGCATGGGGTAATGGTGAGCTACCCCAAGCCAAGAAGTATACTGACAAAGTGAACAAGAGTTCATGGAGGAGCATGGGGTCAAGCAGAGGCAACAGAAGAGCTTCCTAGAGCACCCCATTTCTCTGCCACCCTAGTGTGGATCCTACCATTTGTCCAAATGTCAGACAACCAAGAGCTACTACCTTGTTGTATTGACAATGTTGTGGACATCTTGGTCAGAAGATGACTGAGAAGTTGAAAGAAAATCCTCACATCCTGCAATGATGCAGCCACACTGATATCCAGTGAATAGACAGGGCTATCCGAGACCACCTATGGTTTATGTGTTGCCCAATTTGCTGGCAATGTCCCAATTTGGATGTCATCGTATAAGGGAGGAGTGAAGCACATGCTTTGCCAGTGGTGAGTTTGGTGGCTTTTAAGTGAAGTATTCTTCATCACTGAGCAGCCAGATAGATAAGGCTATCAGTTTTGAACAATGGTGCAACAGGCACACAAGAGCCAATATCAAGCAGTGAATACTGCAGTTGTAACTCTCGAAAAATAGAAAAGCCTAAATAAGATCTGGCCATTGACTTTGGGAAGTCCAATAAATAGCTTACACAGAAAATGTGGTGGTTAGTCCAGCTCTTTCAGGGTGGGTGGATCTTGATATGTACCTGTCAGAGTACAAGGGTAAGAGACAGAGTTCCTGCTTGATACAGGAACAGCAAGAACACTGTTGGATCTTGCAGTATATCAGATGCTCCAAGCAAAACTACCTTTAAGACCAATTGACTCAAACTTCGTTCTAGCAAAGAGAGATAAATTATATGAAATGGTGAGGTCATGCTTTGACTATATATTGGAGGGTTTGCTTATAGAACAAAGGTAATTGTCTTTGACATCAGTTCAGGCATTGTCATTCTTGGAATGAATGTCTTGCAGAACTTAACAGTCAGTTTTGTCTATGCAACAAGTGAACTAATGTTCAAAACTTAATGCAGCAGCAGCAACTCAGTGACTTGTTGGCAAAAAATGTTGATGTATTTATTGGACCAGTTGGCTGATTGGGTCAAATCACAGTCACCAAACATCACAGATACAGGTGATGCACCTCCAATTATACAGTAGTCCCTGGTGGATATGATCTCTCCCAATAATGACTTCCCTTTAAACACAACTTTTTTCTATGCATGGAACAAATTTACATTGATCTGACCTCCCATGAATGACTTCTTGAAAGATGTGAGATACAACTGTGATATTTGAGTGGAAGGTCAGATAACGACTTTTCTTCATTTCAATAAAAAACGATAAACATGTTAAAATGTTAGTGTTTTGTATAGATATACTGTGCTTTTTTATTTGCAATGGTGGTAAACATGGGAGGGTTTTTCATTATGTTCAGTGAACTTAGTTTCCAATTTTGTTCCAGTTTCTTTGATTTAAAATTCTGGACAGTTATTGCACGTTATTTTATAAATGGATACTAAAATCATTATTAGATAAAATTACATAGAATCATATAATACGAACATCATTCATAAAATAATGTGCAATAACAGTCCAGAATTCTACATCGGAGAAACTGGAAGAAAATTGGAAACCAGATTCACTGAACATAATAAAAAATTCTCCCATGTTTACCACCACTGAAACTCAAAAAACAACAGTATATCTATACAAAACACTGTAATTTTAAACAAAGAACCAAACATCAATAAATGCAGAATAAAGGAAGCTGTCTTAATTGAACAAGACAGCCATACCCTAAACCAACATCCCAGGGTACCAAAATACCTATACATGTACACTATACTAGGCTGTGAAGCAATCTCTGGTTATGTGACCTCTGTGTTCCATACTTTATATAGGTACATATACAGTACAGTACATGTATTCATGTTGTGTTCATTTATTTGATTTTACATGTGCATGTATGTACGATAATCTGAATGAAAATGAATATTTTATGTAATATTCTTCAAAGTATGAATATCTCTTACCTCACTTATTCAATGTGATCAGAAAAAATTAATAATTTCAACAGCAATTAGAGCTTGATTACACCAGTTTACACATGAGTGTTTTGATGAGTATTGTACAATTGGCCGTGAAATTGAGACCATAACACAAGCTGGGAAAACCCTCCCCAGCCAATCAGCAGTCAAAATGAGTGTTTTCTCAAGATGTCAGATCATGCATGACATAAGTAATTCTCCCAGTGAGTTGTTAATCTGCAGCTTGCCATATAAAAGAGACATATCGAAGAATAAATCACATACATTTTGTACAAAGATCAATTCTGTCTCATAATGTCTCAAGAAAAGCAAAAACTTAAACAACTGACTTTTCAAGAAAAGGTTGAAATAATCAAAAAGCATGAAAAGGGTACCAAATGTGTTCACACTGCTGCTGAAATGCAGGTTGGCAAAATTCAAATTCAAACAATTGTTGCTGATAAAGTTAAAATCATGGAATTATGGGATAGCAGTTCTAATTTGAACATGAGAGTCACCAAAGTGGATAAAACTGCAAATCACGAACTTAACAAGCTAGTTTTTTATTTGTTCTGTGATGCCAGATCTAAGAACATTCCTGTTTCTGGAAAGATGATCCAAGAAAAAATTTTAATGTCATCAGTCGAACTCGGCCTTGACGACTTCACCGCATCAAATTGGTGGTTGGTATGCTTCCAAAAATGACCCAACATTTCATTAGCTGTGTTATCTGGAGAAGCCACTGATGTTAGCCAGGACACAGTAGATGATTGGTGCAGCAGACTTCCATCTATACATGATAACTATAGATTAGAGAAAGTTTTCAATACCGACAAAATTGGCTTATTTTTTCTTGTCTTGCCAAATAAGTCTCAAGTTATCAAAGGCAACACGTGTAAAGGTGGTAAATGTTCAAAGGAGAGAGTTACAGTGTTGCTAGGATGCAGTGCTGTAGGGGAGAAATTGACTCTTTTCATTATCAGGTGGTCTGCAAATCCTCAGTATTTTAGGGGATTTCAGAAGTCATCATTACCGGTGATGTACAAGGCAAACAAATTAGCCTGGATGATTTCAGCCATCTTCAGTTATTGGTTGAAGAAAATCAACAACAAAATGAGGCTACAATTCTGATGTTTGTCAGTAGTTGTTCAGCACACCCACATATGAAGCCTTCAAATGTCAAGCTCGTGTTCCTGCTACCAAATACGATGTTGCGCTTACAACTGTGTGATGTTGGCATCATAAAGACTCTGAAATAAACTTATTGCAAGAAACTTCTCTGTCACTTACTTCTGAAGATGTCCAAAGCACAGAATGCCAATGATCTTGCCAGTAAAGTCATCATACTCAATGCAATATACTGGTTGAAACACATCTGTGATTCAGTCCAACCAGAGATGATTCAGACATGTTTCATATGCAATGGGTTCATAAACCAGACATTGTCAGATACACCAGAAACAATTGCCACAGACAACATTGAGCCATTACTGCAGGGGACATCATGGAAAGAGTTCATCTCATGCAATGACAATGCTGGCACCATGCAG